TGCAATATTGCGCAGGTGAAAGAAGGCAGATCTAGAGACTTGGATTTTGTGTGATTTAAAGGACATATTCTGATCAAAAATGACTCCAAGGTTCCTCGCAGTAGTACTGGAGGCAAGAGCTATGTCATCTAAAGTAACTATATGATTAGACAGCAGATTTCTAAGGTTTTCAGGCCCAAGCACAATGACTTCAGTTTTGTCAGAGTTTAGAAGTAAGAAGTTGCAGGTCATCCAGGCCTTTATGTCTTTAAGACATGCTTGAAGTTTGACCAGCTGACCTGATTCATTTGGCTTCATAGATAAATATAACTGAGTATCATCTGCATAGCAATGGAAATTTATGTTGTGCTTCCTGATAATATTGCCTAAAAGGGAGCATGTATAAAGTGAAGAGAATTGGACCTAACACAGAGCCCTGTGGAACGCCGTGACTAACTTCACTCAGCAGTTATAAACACATTTCTACATCATTAACACAGGCTGGACCTGTAAAATAACTGTCTTTGTTTCTGTTTGATCAGGAGGCTCTTTAAAATAGGTTATTTATTGCAGGTTTAAGATGGGATAGACTTTACTGGCCCCAGTCGGTGGCCTGCCAGTAGATGGCCTCAAACCTGCACAGTGTGTTTACACTCTTCTGAAATGAGCCATTCTGCATTTTAAGATTTGTACTTCAGCTACTTCAAGTATATTTTGACGCTGCTACTTTTGTACTTGTAACAGAGGCGGTGTAGTATCAGTAGGTAAACGATCAGCTTCTTCACCACCGAGCATTTGATCATTAAAACAAACTCTATGCTGATGATATCAAAATATTTTAAGATCTGGTATACACTGCTGATCAAAAGTTTTAGGTCACCTCCATGTTCCCAGTAGTTACCAGTGGGATCCAACAGGTGAACACACCTGTGTCATTGTCTCTCCAATTGAAACCAAACACTGCTGCCATAGCAGACGTTCCCACAGACGTGTTACACCCATCGGCTGCTTTGCTTTCACTCTTCACCTGGAAAGTCTGGACCCTGTGCTGCCGTTCCATCACGTGAAGCTGACCGTCTGGTTCTTTCCTCATCCACAGCCTGGAGCTGTTTGTGGCTCCTTCTACTGCTACAGGGTGAAACCCTGAGAAGCTCTGACTTCCTGGGTTCATGGCCTTTTTCATGGCCTTGAACCTGTAGGAACTGTTGCATCAGTTTTCAAGGCTTCTTTTACTTCACAGCTACAGGAAAGACAGACGTTCCCCTGTTACTGGACCCTGGAAAAGGACTTGTTTATATGACATGTCACTGCCACAGGAAAGACGGACGTTCCCCTGTTACTGGACCTTGGAAAAGGCCTGGTGTATATGACATTTACACACATTTCTAGTTTTTGGTGACTTTTTATTTTTACTTTTGGTGGTGTGCTTCTCATCTGCTTACGTCTGAATAAAATCTGGAGAAATGGAGGTGACCTAAGACCTCTGATCGTGGTGTTTGACAGTGGAACAGAAGTGATATGCTGCCATGAGCCATTGAAACAAGAGCAGTGTCCAAAAACCAGAGGGGACCTTCAGAACCGACGTCCCAGTAGAGCGAGAGTGTCGTACCATCCACAACCACAGAACGTTTTCAGAGTGCAAACAAAAAGCTGCACCCTGTGAGGTTTTCAGATGAATCCACCTAAAGACCTGTACATGATGCAGTGAAGCTCCAACAGGGATGTGAGAAGATAAACCAGCTCCTCTTTCTCTCTCTGCCCCCTCCTCCCTGTCCTCTCTCTCAGCCGTCACCTCTCCTCTCTCCCCATCAGTGGCATCCCCCCCTCCACGACGCCTCTCTCTTAAGAGGTTTTCTCTGTTCTCTCGTTTCCCAGGTAAACACTTGCATGGGCTTGGGGGGGGGGTTTCCTCCTTCAGCTGATCTCACCATTTCCTTTTTGTCATCACCTTCACAGCCCTGATCCAGCAAGTTGTACACACTGTTGGCAGACGTGGCCCTTTTAGGTCACATGTACCTCATTTAAACCAGGGGCCTCTGTCGGTCGCATACTTATTCTACCAAAACGATACTTGAAGAGATATAAACATCTTACTCCGCAAACGCTTTTTCCATTTAACAAGAAGGAAAATATTGACCGAACACACATCAGCACCATGAACTTTCCTAAAATGACACTTTAAAACTGACCAGAATTTTAGATTTAAATCAAAAGCTTTTCAGTATATTCGTGTCAGTACACAGATGCACAGCCCCCAGTATAAAGTACAGTTACATCAAATATTTGCTGGTTCCAGGTGTCAGATGCTAAGATTTGCTGTTTTGTAGCATTGCAAACACCAGGAAACTGTAACAAGTATTTCTTTTTGCATTTGTTGCATTTTATAGTGCAAATTAGACTCTTAGAGTTGGTGGGTAAATAATGATGGGTGCAGTGACAACAGTGATCTGTGGTGTCAGTTTTCCCAACCTCAGTCAGGAAACGTACCAGTGGGAGGCGACAGAGTCTGCAGGAGGGTTTCACTCTAACCCGGGTTGTGCTGACGTCTCATGCACACATCACACATTCAAAGATATTTCTGATATATTCTGATGTAAAAATACCAAATTGTCAAAAGAATGAAAAGTACCATCACAGTTCCCTGAAGCCAAAAGTCTCAGCAACAGAGATTTAGTTTACAGAGAAGTTCTTACATTTTGCCAATCAGGTAAAGTTTCTGCTTGATAACTGATTAAACAATTAACCAGATTGTCTAGATCAGTGTACCTTTCTGATCGATTGCTTCGCCACTACAGTAGATGATGCTTTTTTAAAATATATAATCGTTAGTTGCATCACTGCAGGTCGCGTCACAGCGTCCTCTTCACTCGGCAGGATTTAACTTGCTGGATGTGGTGTCCTCTGGTTTCCAACTCTGTCACTACCTTCTCCCCTTTAACCACTGATCCACCATCTTTCATCAGGCGAGGCGGCTGCTCTGACCGCAGGCCTCTGGGTAAAGGAGGAGTTTGACACTTTGAGAAATATATGTATTTGCCTTTTTCTTTCTGAGAGTTACACGAGAAGGTTGATGTCACTCTTACCAGTCTGTTAAATGGGAAGCTGCAACCAGTTAGCCTAGCTTAGCATAAAGACTGGAAACAGCTAACTGGCTCTGTCCAGAAGTAACAAGGAGCGCAGCAGTGTTCACAGCCAGATACGTGTCAGTTACACAACAAAAAGATCAGAACTGAGCATTAAGCCCTGAGATATGGACGCGGCCTTTGTTACCTTTGGGTTGAGTTTCCAGTCTCTATGCTAAGCTAGGCTAAGTGGTTATAGCTCCAAAGTTGCAAACTGGTATCAATGTCTCATCTAAGTCTCAGTAATTATGCAAATAAGAGAAGTTCCCAAAATGTTGAACTGTTCCTTAAAGCACACGTTTCTTTTACCTCCCACTTCATCTCCACTGTACAACACTGATCCGAGGTTCTCTGATCATCACCGATGCTCGCTCTCCTTTAACTCTTCAAGCCAGATTACAAGGGTGCTTCCCTCACACTCCATGACATCACTAAAGCCAGCCAATGAGAGAGGTTCTTCCTCTGAGCTCCCACAGTCCTATCATGTCCATAGAAAGCTCAAACGATGCACTTTGCCTCATTGCATGGCCTGTTTGTCACAGTGTTACTCAGTCACTGACATTGGTTCATGTGTGTCTGTGTGATGTGTTGCAGTGTGTTCATCGTGCCTGCTGCTCTCATTCCTGCCAACGTTGTCAACGTCAGCTGGCTGCCTCCATCTTTTCCCGTATTCTGACATATTCATCTTGTTTTCATGTCCTTTTTCTGTCTCGTGTGTTTTCTGCTTTTGTGTACATTTAAGTGTGTGTCTGTGCTTCTCCTTGCTGTCTTTATTGTTTGCCATCCTTGCTCTCCTGCTCACTCTCTTCTCTGTCATTCTCAGAGTTCCGTTCTCCGTCACGCCGGGGCAGCCTCAGCCGCTCGGCGTCCCTGACCTGCACTGAGCGCCCTCCAGAAAGCGGGTCCATTGGCGGCAGCAGCACTCAGATCCCAGGCACCCCCTTCCAGTACATACCAGACTTCTGCGTACGTGCGCTCACAGACCTGCAGTTTGTCAAGGTAACGTTCGGTTTCGACCAGCTCTGTCATCGCAGCAGCCCGGAGCTCTGTTAGTCTGAAGTATGAGCGGTGATGTGCAGGAGGAGACGTCCCTGAACAACAGGAAGCTGTTTTGCTCTGACATTCTCACTGGACCTTTACCTGCTTTTCTCTTGCTGTTCAACAGATACGTTAATAGTTTCATGCAAAATATGTAATAGGGCTGCAACTAACAGTTATCTCAATTTCCACTGAATCGGCTGGTTATTTTTTCAGCTCATTTTTGGATCAATACGACAGAAAATGGCAAAAACCAGCTAACGACAGGTTCCCAGAGTCCAGGGCTATGTCCCCAAATATCTTGTTTCCCAACCAACAGCCTGACACCAGCTTCATTCATGTTGTTGTAATGTGAGAAAGGAACAGTGATAATCCTGACCCGTTTCCAAGGCGCCCGCTCTGGGAAACACTCCTTGACCTATACTGAAGTATAAAGTAGTTTAACATGGAAACACTTAGAGTATTTCATGCTTGGCCTTGAGTAAATGTACTTGCATGTTGCCTCTGTCCTCCTCAGATCACTCGTGCTCATTACCAGAACGGCCTCCTGGCGTCCAGGCTGGACAGCTCGCCACAGTCTCCAGAGGGCAGTCGCACTCGCCTGGACATGTCCGTCTCTTTGCCGCCCGTGACGCCACTGGGGATGTGCACTCCGCTGCCATTGGCCACGCCTCCTGTGAAACAGCTTCCATCTAACGCTCAGCTGACGCCGCCGAGCAGTCGCACTGCTCAGGCCCAGACCAACTCCTCCTCCTCTGGCCGCAGGCTGAGCCAGTCTCTGGCCCAAGCTGCCCCTCCTCCGTGCAGCCACACACCCCTGTCCCAGAGTCCTCCACCCTCCATCAGCACAGCATCGTGCATCCTTAACCCCCACCCAAATCCTTCCTCCAAGTCCCAGCACTCCCCGCCCTCTGCTGGCCCCGAGAACGGGCTGGGAGAGGCCACCTCTCTGCTCAGTGAGCAGCACAACTGTGTGGGCCCCCGCCAGCCCAGCCACGCCCAGGCACCCCCCCACCCACTCGTTCACACCATCAGTCACGCACACACTGAAAGCACGATCTAACTAACATCTGTGCACACACTGGCACTGCTTCTTGTTCCTGTTTGCCTGTTGAACTCTTCTGTCTAATAGTACACCTCCTGTGTGTTGTGTAAATAGAGATCCTCCTTTAACCGTCCTGCATGTCCCCCCCAACACTGAGCAAGATCAAGAAGACAGCAGAGGAACAGGGAACGCTACTGAGTACGGTTAGACAGGGCTGTGTCCAGGTGTGTTCTTAAAGGATCAGTTCACCCAAATGACTACAACAGGCAGTATGTCCTCACTTAGCTCCAGCGCTGTCTCTTTTTGCAGGGAGGTTTGGTTTCATTTGACCCAAGTTTTAAGATTTGTGCCTCCACCTGATTAAAACACTTTCCCAGTTACTGTGGCTTCTCCACAGACCTCAGCACGACCAGTTCTCATTCTAGATATTTATAAACCAGGTTGCATGAAGTTTTAGTTTCTTGCATCTGGTTAATTCGTTTGTGCAGTACCTTAGTTATTTGTTATACCATTAAATTGACGGCCAGTTAATCAGCTGATGACACGCTTAGCTGTCTGTTATGCTGCGTTCCTGTCATATCACTTACATTATGTGTTTGCTTGACTTGTTAATAGCGTTCAACTTTCATTGCAACTGGGAAACTGATTGACCTGATTTAGCACTAACAAATCTGGGTACATCAGATAAGAAACATAACAGATCTGATGTTTTATTGTGAATACAACCCTTCTGCTACCCGCTTTGTAATCATACGCTGACTTGATTAGAGCTCTACTTAGATTAAATGACTGTGTAATGTAACTTAGTGCTAAAGTTACACAACTACAGCTGGACCCATGAAAGAGAGATGCTAACACTAGCGAGCCCCCTTTGTTCTGTCATTCAGGAAGAACAGAGTCTGTGGGGAAAAGCACAATAGCTGCAGTATCGTTATATTTCTTTACACAAAAGTGAGGAGAATTAAAATTTCCTTTTAACTGTTACAGCGTTATGAGGACACAAACATGTCTGTTATCTCCGCTGTATTTCGGAGGCACTTAACTAGTTTGTGATTTGTGTGACCTGACCCTTTAAGTCCTTGACAGAAACCCTATGGCCACACAGGTGACTGTTAGAGGATGTTCGTTTTGTTTCATTTGTCTCTCAGTTTACATTTCCAAAGAGTGAAACTTCCAAAAAGCTATAAAGTAGGTATGATTTGTGGAGGGTCTGGTTACAGATTGCCTGTTCTCCTCAGCGTGTCCGATAGAGACGTGGCAGAGGTGAACAGATGAATTTGTCTGTGGGATTTGTCGGTGCTGAGCCCTCAGTGAATCAATTCAACCACCAGCAAATGGACCAGATTCACTGTACTGAGCAGCTTCTAGTCTGCAGTGAGAGTTTAACAACCACACCAGTGAGTTTGGGTGTTTTCACCCCTTTAATCCAGCTGCTGACTGTTTGTGGTTAAGAGGCTAAAACTGGCGAAATCCCTGGTTTGGTCCTTTGAGTCACAGAGAAGTGATGGGGGCTGTCTTCTGGCCTACATCCTGACCAAGGCAATAGGTTTTAAATTCAATTTCAAAGAGTTACATTATAATGTTTATTTTGTGTAATATTAACTTATATTTTACATAAAATGTATGTTTTATATTTTAGAGATTTTATTTATTTTTCACCTTCTTTGGTTCTTGCAGTTTATGCTGAAGGAGGAGCGGCAGACACGATGACACTAACTGCACAGACACTTTTATCATGAACGCTAAAGATTTCTCACTGTGAAAAGCACTTGGTCCGACTCGAACTCCTGCTCGAAGCTTCATGTTGTAAAAACACGAGCTGATCAAACTGGACCTTGCGTTGCTGCAGAAACTGACCTGAGACACACTGAGCTGTTTTTGCTTTTGTCTAGTACCCAGTAACACGAAGACCAAATATCCCAGAGCAACATGCAGTCTACAGTTTTCAGTAGTATGCATGTTCCCAGTGCATTCTCTGCACAGGGCGACTTTATCAGAGTCTGATACTGTAACACAAACCTGACCATCTCTCTCAAGCTATGGACTCTTCGGCAGGGCCGTATCCAAGATTTTAGAAGCACTGAGGTCTTTTTTTAATTTTTAAAATTAAGTTATTGGCTCCATTGTGTTTTCTGCTGGTTTTATGTGACGGAGCTGTTGTTCTCCGGGAATAGTTTGACATTTTGGGAAACACCCTTGTTTGCCTTTTTGCAGAATTTGACATGAAGCCCAGTGCCACTCTGGTGACTGTATGGTACATATGAAGCTGCAGCCAGCAGGCTATTAGCGTAGCTTAGCATAAGGACCAGACAGCTAGCCTGGATCAGTCCAAAGGTAACAAAATCTACATAAGGCTCGCTAATTAACACTTCTTGTTCATTTTAATCAGTGGGAAAACTGAAGTGTTAAAATGGTGAGTTTTGGTTTTATGGGGACTGGTGTAGGCCACAACTGTTTTTACATTTCTGTTTAGGATATGATGTGTTAATTATTGAGCTTTCAGCCCTGTTCCCACCAAACGAACTGTCCCCAGGGAACAGGACCTTTTCCACCAGACTTTAGTTCCTGTGAATGAAATGTACCTGAAACTTCCCAGTGGAAATGCACTTTTAGACGTACTGGTAGCTGTATTAGCCAGGCTGGCTGTTTCCCTGCTTCTGGTTTTCTTTTGCAGAGTTAATCTAAAATAATCTCTCACTTCAGGAGGAAACGGTTTGTCTGGCCTTGTCCAAAGGTAAAAACTCCACAAGCCATCTTCAGGAAAACACTGCTGCCAAGGAATAGTCCAAGATACAACCCCATAAACTGACATTTGGCCACTTTGTTACTGAGCCTTAGGGGACCTTGAGGCAGATTGTTTTTACCTTTGGTCAGGTCTAGGCTCCCGCTCTCCCCTGCTGCCAGTCGTGGCCTGTTGGCTTCATGTTTAACACACCGATGTGAGAGTGAGAAAACAAATGAGCACATTTCCCAGACTGTCGGACTACTATTTAACCTGTGTTTCTTGTATGTATTTATTAACCTTTGAGTTCACGGTCAGCTCAGGGTGAAGGGTTGACACTTGAATATCATGAACATTCGCAGCACAATAACTCGTTGAGATGTAATGGACCTACATTCCTCTGCATGTCTTCACACCAGTGAACTCACAGCTTTCCTCTCAGTTTGGTGTTTGATATGACCTTCCAAACCAGGGATTAGTTCACAGACACCTGACACTATGTGATGTACATTTTATTGTGTGTGTAGGTGATGTTGTACCTGCTCAGCCTGTTTTGGAGCAAATGAGGAGCCGGTCGTGTTCCAGTGGACTGAAGAGCAGCTCATCCTCGTGCTGTTGGTGACGGGCTGAGCTCCCATGTTAAAGCTGCTAGCTTGTAATCTACCTATTTTTTCTTACGTGTACAAAACTGAAATGACTTAAAGGTGATTTATTTTGTTGACGATATAGTAAAAGGTATTTATTTGAAGAGGTATAAATGAAAAACTATCTGTATAAGCTAGCACTGATGTGAAACCACTTTGAGCCTGTGACTGACAAAGTGAATATTCCAAAGCATTTCCCCTTTTGTGGGACGATTTGTGGAGTGAGGCTGGATTACCAACCGGGCAGGTCGGACACCTGCTCCCGCACCCCCCCAAAGCCCTAGGTTCACTTTGAGTCCTTGTTTAAAATATTTAAAAACCGGTTGGATACTAGCACCGGTCCAAAATCAAGTGTTACTGGAGGCTTGTTTCCTTATTTTATGGTCTGGCTTAGACGAGGATCCCAGTGTCAGAATCTAGTTGTTGTGCTCACATGTTGCATTTTGCTAAACTGACTCATGTTTTATCCAGCAACCGCAGAGCAAACCTGGGGCCTGGCAGTATTCCAGTATAGGAGTAGCAGACTCAATGTACAAAGGGTTGGAGTTAACTGGGGGCCCAGCAGCTCATTTTTACCCCAGTGCCCCTCCTGGTACATCCAGCCATGGAGATTAACCATAGATTTTATTCAGCCGGACCTCTCTGAGCCGAGAGGAAACCCTGCTAGTTAAATGCGAACACTTAGTCGACATAGCCTTAGACTCGATTTAAAGAAAATTTAGGCCTGCCTGCTGGTTCATATAGGTCTCATGTAGCAATTGATCTTATACTGGTTTCCAGTGAAGCCGCTGGTTGGTTGTCTGACTTCCAGTTTGTGTACTGGGAAACAGTTGTTGTACTTGGTATTCCTGTATTCATTGTAAAGCTGTTGTTTTGTGTTTTTGCACCAGAAGGTGTGGTTCAGTGGAACGGGCTTCCAGCAGGGTCACACACCCAGTAACACTGTTCAGTTCCCTGACTGCTGTCTGTGCGACATCTCTGTAAATACTCTGTTCATGAAGAGCTGAGCGTTTGCTTGCTGAGAGAGATGCTGGAAATGGCTCTGTTTATAAGGAGAGACATTTCCATTGTTTTACTACAAAGGCATTGTGTAGCAATAAACACTGCACAGAGTTGATCCTCAAACATTCACTCCTCCTATCTTCTGTAGCTTTCTTGTATTTTTTGTGATTAGATGTGATAACCAAGCATTCTCCTTTCCCATCCTTCCCTTCCTGTCGGCCTTTGCCATCATATCTCCTCTTTCTTCTCTCCTGCCATGCTTCATTTTCACTCCTTTTCCTCATTTATTTTTCACCCTGCCCTTATCTAGACTCCTCTATCACCACTCAAAGCTATTGAAATTCCTCCGGCCTTGCCTGCCGCTCCGATCTGCTAAGCTGTTTTTATTTTTCAGACCTTTTCTATCATGGGACCGGAGTGGGGGAGCGGGGCTTATCAGCAGCTCCTGTGGTGTTGTTTTAAGCCATGCAGCGGTGCAGTGATTAGACGTGCGAAGGTTAAATATTTTCTGGTGCAGGGTTTCTCAAGCCACTGTGTATAAATCACAATCAGACTGTGTGAATGGTCTGAGTGTGTTTTGTGTGTGTGGAGCAAAGCAGAAACACGGCGAGGAGAGTGTAGACTAGTGCCCCCGGGACGTGTTTTTGCATTTATTGTCATCCTCTTTACATATGCTTAGGATTTCTGTGCACACATAAAGACCAGGCACTGAGAGTTTCAGTGCAGATGTGGGAGGATTCTGGATCTGAAATACATAAATAATCATAGTTAAGCGTTACTGCAGTAAAAACCCAGACATTTGACGGTGAACAGTTCTGAGAGTTGTCATTTAGTCTTTCCATTTCCCCAGGGTATGTCAGCCGATGCAGAATACTTGTTTGACAGGTTTACTGTTCAGACGCTGCTGCGACATGTTGGACTTGTGCTTTTTATTTTCTTGCACTGGTTGGACAGAGACGGTTGAGCACTACCAAACATGAATTATTTAACTTGAAGCAATGTGTATGTATTGTTTTATAACTGGCATTTGAAGATATCTATGAGGTTAATAAACCTGGGATCTATTTCTCTACAGAAAATCTCTGTCTGATTGTGGATTTTCACTGCTGGAACCAAGTTTCTTTTGCTCTGCAGGAAAATGAACTGCAGGGTTTACTCGTTTCGTATTAACTGGTGTGGGGAATGTGTACAAGACTTGTGGGTGGATGCTCAAACTCTGCTATCAAAAGGAAACAGGTTATCATTAGCCTGTCAGTACCAGCCATACATGATTTACACACCGACTGCAGATACAAATAAGTGTGTGTGTGTGTGTATTTACTAGGGTTTGTGTAGGAACCCTTTGTTATTTGGGTGGTTAAAAGAGTCTTTGTGAATCCTGAAAATATGACCTATGACCTGAGTGTGTGCTAATACTTGGTAAGCACAAACTGGCTGCAGGTATCCTCCAAAGCTGCAGTCCATTGTTCCTGAGGTAAAAAGATGCACAGAGAGGAAAACTTTTACATGGCCTGACTAACTTGGACTGAGAAAGTCTATTGTCACTTTTTGCTTTTTGCAAAGAGAAAAGACTGGGCCTCACTTAGAATTTCACAAAGTGATGAATGACTTATGAGGAAATCTAACACGGATGGGCGTGAGCGCATGCTTGTTTTTTCATGTTTTATTGGCTGTGAACACACATTGACTTCGGTTCGCTGGTTTTCGGGAGGGGCGGTGCAATAATGACACGAAAACAAGCACAGTCAAGCCCCGGAATGGACGGTCACCCCGGTACTCTCCCGGTACCCATGGAGCCAAAATGGCCGCCGTGCAGCTCAGTAGCAATGTTTGTTTGGCTGGCTCATGCTGCATTCAGGGAATATCAGAGGAATGGGAAAACAAAATACCCGTTACCCTATTGGCCATCAGGTAAATATACTAAATCTGTTAATGTATTTGTAGCAGTTTAAGAGATAGCTACAAACCAGTAGTGCTTAGCTCCTGTAAATGTACGTGAATGGTTTGTATTAAAGGGCAAAAGGCTATTTAATTTTTGCTTAATGTAACTACCAGCGGTGGTGCGTTAGATAGCGGACTTGTCTGTACTTTTTATTGGAACAGTAATAAAGAGCACGTGAATGGGAGTCAGAGATATCATGAACCTCTGATGGTGACATCTGGTGAAAAGAACTACAGACGTAAAAAAAATCTGCTACTCCAAGCTTAGACATGGCACATCACGTTCAGGACCAGCAGTGTCCTACATTTTGTTATAACTTGAGTTACTTTTCAGAATTTTTATATTTTTAATTAAAACTGTGTATTTTTATATTGTGACATTTCTACATTTACTTAAGTAAATAATCGGAGTATTTCTTTCACTACTGATAAACGAGGTGATTTTTAATTTCAAATAAACATTTTGGATACTGGACTTCTTGTTGCTATGGTTTCCCGTGTTTCCTGAACGCAGCACAGCCGAGGTGGGCGGGGCCTCGGTGGGACTACAGTCACATGATCCGCGCAGAGCCAGGCTGACCAGTTCCAATATGGTGGCTAGCTTGGCAGGTCTACGGTCTTTGTGGATGATATTGTTGTTCGGGGGGATCAGGTACGGCGCCTGCAGCCAGGAAGCACCACGGGTTCTGGGGCTGCGACTCGAAGACCCGGCGGGTTTGGTGTGCATGAGGGACCGGATCATTTCGGCGCCACAAGGAGCCACATTCACGCTCCGTCTCTTCGGGGCTGATCTGAATGGAAGCTGGCCGTGGGTGGCGTTCGCAGGGGCGGCTGGCCAAGCGTCTGTCGGGGATGCGTCCGACCCGTGTGAGCAGGAGTCCAACCGTCAGAAGTCCGCTTTCCAGGTGACCGGAGAGTTCACCCCAGATGAGGAGAACAGCGGACTGGTAACGGTAGAGGTGCAGCCAAGGCGCATCTCTGACAGCGAACAGAGCTACCACCACCTGTGTGTGCTGACCGGGGGGAAATGGACCTCTGTGGGCCCGGACAGGCTGCGGGTAGACACCGACACGGGTCTTCCCGCTGACCACATCCCGCCGTGGGGCCTGGCCGTGCTGACAGTGGTGCTGCTGCTGGCCTGCGGGGTGCTGAGGACAGTGAACCTGAGCCTGCTGTGGCTGGACCCCGTGGAGCTCTATGTGCTGCACACCTGCGGGTCCGAGGAGGAGAAACGGGCCGCCAAGCGCCTGGAGCCCGTCCGGAGGAGGGGGAACTTCCTGGTGAGTTCTCTGTCTGAAAACAGGGCCCCCTTCTTCCTACGAGAATTATACAGATTATTATGTGGAGTCTGGGTTGTTTGGTTCTTTACAGATGGTTTAAAATTCATCCGAAAGTCCTGAAACCTAGCCCTACAAAAGCGTAGATGGATCAGAACCAAGGCTTTCTGGGACCAGGAGCTCTTTTTGGATGCTAAATGCACACTGCTCATCACAGCACAACATGACAATACAAATCTGCTGTGAATGAAACAGACATTTGACAAAATGAAGAAGCAAACTAACACAGGTGTCTCGTACCCAGGGGCCCCCTGACCAAGGGCCCCTGGGTCAGAGGGGCCCTGGGTACGAGGGTAGCTGGGTCAGAGCCTGATTGAGGTAACTCTTAACTTGATGGAAAGTCCCCACAGATAGATGCAGAGTGATGACAAATACTCAAAACAACTAAAAAACAGGGACAAAGACACAAAATGACTACGACTAAAAGCAGAATGATGACAGAGATGTGACACAGCCATACAGAGTCACAAAGACCCACAACATGACGGACACAAAACAAATACAAACACATGTAAAACACAACTACCATAAAGACACAAACTGGCCAGAGAAAATGTGTTGTTTGTTGTCTTTTTGGTCTCTGGGAGAGTTTAGTCTTTTAATTGAGGTCTGTGACTTTGAAAATATGTTAAGTCACTTTACACAAAGCCTCTGGCCAAGAAGCCCCGGGCCCCACAGCATGTTCAGTGATCCATACGTGGCTCCAGGTCACGTTAATCAGCTAAATATATCGCTAGGAGTTGTTAAATACAGCTTAAATAATTCCAGGCCTTGTGGTTTGTCTTCTGTGTTGTTAAACCATTTGCAGTGTAATCTGTTGAACCCTGCAGGAAGAAAACTGATACAAAAGTAAACTTGCAGACCAAACCAAACTCTCTCTGTTACACCCCAGACGTGCTCGCTGCTCTTCCTGTGTGTGGTGGGACACTCGGCCCTGGCTGTGCTCCTGTACCGGGCCCTGAACTCCATCGTCGCCGCCGTCTTCACCAGCGGCCTCCTCCTCTTCTTCCTGGCTGAGCTGGTCCCTCACATCGTGTGCTCCGGTTACGGCTTCCAGCTGGCGCCGGCCCTGATCTGGCTGGCCCATGTCTGTATGGTGCTCACCTGCCCCCTGACCTGCCCCCTGGGGCTGATCCTGGACCTGGTGCTGAGGCGGGACATCAGCACCTGTGGGATAAGAGAGAGGGCCATGGAGATGATCCGTACGAGCGTCCACGACCCTTACAGGTAAACTTTTTCATCTTTGTAGGAAACAAGGTTCTACATATTAAACTTTATAACCAGTTTGTTTCATCACAGTCTGGTCCAATTAAAAAACAAAAAACTATATTCCTACTTCCTGTTTACTCACTTATTTATACAGTTGCTTCAGAAAGTGTTCACTTGACTTTGTTGTGTTGCAGATTTAGTTTTAAATAAAATGTGGGGGCAGGACGGGGACGTTAAATTTTAGCATCGAAAACAAATTTAGTTTGACATTGACACTGAAACACTTGTAGAGAGAGTTTGTACTGGAACAAAAATCTAATGATCTCATTTTCATTTGATTATGTTTAAAATTCTGACGTGGTCATTGTTTGATCACAAGGGATGAACTGGCTCTTTATGGATGTAAGTAGGTGTAAAGTCACACAGTTAAACCAACAGAAGACGTGGAGGTAGAAAAAGGAACAAAATAAAGGAGTCTGGTTGTTTCACGTACAGATGGTGACAAACTGAACTCCTGACTGAGTGGAGACCCAAACTACAGGGTCACTGATCAATCAGCTGATCATTGTCCTGATGATCTGATTGATCAGTTTGTCCCCAGAATGTCAGACACTGGGATAAAGTCCCACTGTGACTCTCCAGAGCCAAAGGTGGCGTCTCCACAACCAGCAGATCCACAGAGACTCAGCTGATTCTCATGTCTGACAAAGAAAAGCATCAGCTCCTCACATTAAAGAAGGTGGAACCAGAACATGTCGGTGACTGTTGCTTCTAAATAGCTGAGGTTCATTTTCTACCAGTGAACTGACTCATGGCTGCAGCTCTAGGTCACTGAATGGCTTCATGAGGATGACACATCCTGAGTGTCACCAACCATCTTTGAGCTGTATTTGTTGTCCTTGTCTTGTGTTTGCAGTGAGTTTGTGAAGGAGGAGTTCAGCCGCGGGACGCTGCGCACTAAGACGGTGGAGGACATCCTGACTCCTCTGAAGGACTGCTTCATGCTGCCCAGCTCGGCCGTCCTCGACTTCTCCACCATGTCTGAGATCATGCAGAGCGGATACACGCGGGTGCCCATTTACGAGGAGGAGAGGTGGGCGCCGCAGTTTTACAACGTTTTCATTACACAGCCGGGAGATGTTTCTGGCAGTGGGCGACCTCCTGAGGGTGTCCGGGCCAAAACTGTGCTGTAGCGGCTCCGTTATTTCTCGAGACACCCAGAAACCAACCAGGGCCCCAGAGCTGAAATGATTAGTTCACTGATGATTCAACTAACAAAACATTGATTGCAATAATTATAATTTTTAAGCTGCTACCATGGTTACACGTGCTGTTCCCGTCTGCGTGAGGTCCGTGGAAAACAGTGTTTTGTTCACATGGCTTCTCAGATGTGTATATTAGCTGGTTCCTGTTTTCTGACAGTAAACTCTGATAAAAGAAGAAATGTGAACATGTTAATGAGGATATTTTTAAAGACTAAATGATCAGCTGATTAATGAAAACTATTGAAGTGCGTATAATTGCCGGTTGTGGCGTTTCTTGTCTTCTGCGATGGAATAGTACGACCTTGCTGCAGGTTTTCTGTTCATTTCTTGACAGAAAAATAAAACCAGTTTGACAAAACTTTAAAACAAATGAGCTCAAACTAAACATTTCATCTTAAATTTAAAACTATATAAATACTTCACTATATTTCTAATGCTCCTTTGTTCTGTGACTCGGAAATAATAATAAAAATAATAAAACTAAAAGCACCAGGACGAGTTTGTTTAGTCGGTTAAACTCTGATCCAAACCGTGTGACATACTCAGTCCAGGATTCCCAGCAGCTTAGAAACTTGTCTGTGATCTTTAATAATTACACTAAACAAATAATTCATTTTTCATCCAGTGCATTTTTACTTGCAACTAACAAAATGTGCAGCATACATTTATTACACACTGTTAAAAGCTGGTTCTGCTGATTTCCCACCTGTTGTGGTTGGAAACAGATTTATTTGTCCTCACATACACGTCATTACCCATAACACAAGTGCACACTGGCACACACATGGCGCATCACGTTCAGGACCAGCAGTGTCCTTTCATCAGCTGAATCGTATTTGGTTTCTGTCCAGTCATCGGTGTGTTTGGTTTTCCAGGTCCAACATTGTGGAAATCATTTATGTGAAGGACTTGGCTCTGGTGGACCCGGATGACTGCACCCCCATGACGACCATCACCAAGTTCTACAACCACCCGCTGCACTTTGTGTTCAACGACACCAAACTGGACGCCATGTTGGAGGAGTTCAAAAAAGGTGTGTGAGCAGAGTGATAGCAACAGAATATTATAACAGAGGCGTCATCAGATTCCGTTAAAGCTGCTCGGCCTCCTGTCACTGGGGTTGTCAGGTAGTGTGGAAACCTAGTTAATCTTAGTTCTTACAATTTGACTTTTCTCCTTCTATCAGGCAACTCTCACATGGCTATCGTCCAGAAAGTGAACAACGAGGGGGAGGGAGACCCTTTCTATGAGGTGTTGGGTTTGGTCACCTTAGAGGACGTCATCGAGGAGATCATCAAGTCTGAGATCCTGGACGAATCTGACGGCTACTGTAAGTCCCTGTACGTGTGGTTAGCTCTTTAGCATCTAATGTGTTTAAAAAGACTCTGCCTCTTCCCGCAGTGGACAGGAAGGTGAAACGACCCATTGCTCCGCTGGAAATTCCACTGGAGCCTCGCAGCATCCATGAGGAGTTTTCCCTGTTCAAGCCTCCTGAGGGAGAACCCAAGATCCGCACCTCGCCACAACTCCTGCTGGCCACACACCGCTTCCTGTCCCGAGGTGAGCGTGTGCGATTACCTGTGAATCTTCACCTTTTTGCCTGAGTGTATGTGATGAAAGGGGAGACTGGTTATCATTTACCCTGTGTTTCGTTCTGAGTCAGTTTAATACGGCGCATGCAGCAATGCAGGTAGCTTATGAACGTTCCTGCACTACACCAGACATCCACTGTCTTTACTTTGTCAGTTTAATCATGTTTTAGTTAAATTCATCTCCTGTCTTCATTGTCTGTTACAACACATATTGACTAGTTCCTGTCATGGCCAACGCTGGGTTTAACCACAGAGAGGATGTTGTGTGGACACAGCCAACATGGCCTCCACCTCATGTGCTCTGCATTAAGAAGCTACAGCCTGCTTCATAGCTTATATTCTGTCGTGTCCTAGAGTGTTTCTTATAATATTCAGAGTATTTCGTGCGAGGTGCGTCTCTGCCATTTTACAGCAGGGTTCAGTTCGATCAGTAGACTTTGTACTGCGTTTAAATGTTTTAATGAAAGAGAACCAAGCAACAAAAGCCTTCATCAGACCACGTTATTTTACAATATTTATTTTACTGCTAAATACATTTAAATTGATTTTTTTAATGTTACATTAAAATGTAAATATCAAAAGTAGAAATGTATTTTTTAATGTAATTATACAGAATTGTGGAGCTTGAGAATAATGAACTTAATCTCATAAATGTGGTGTTTGTTGTCTTTTATTGCCCAAATCTTTTAGTTCCAACATTATGAAATTATATCATGGCAGCTATGTTGCAGTAATTAGTTCCAACAATAAACTTACTGTAAGGTACTATAGAAACATCATTGTTCCTGTTTACACAGGATAAAATACTTTTCTGGAATTAGTAACAAACCAACCGGATGAAAAATCTGTAATATCACTGATTTATAATGATTATAAGTTTGGACAGGCCGCCCGCCTTCATACACGCGTGCATCAGGAGGCTTCCCTGTACCAACATGGCGGCTGTGTTAGCACAGCGGTGGCTCACGAGGCATCTACCTGTTTTTATTTGTGCTGCAACCTAATTTAGTGAGTCACTAGTGTGAAACTAGTCAGCAGTTAATAAGGAGCCGTGTAGGTTATAAATCAGGTGTGGGCGCCCAGATGGTGATCTCACTGCATCTCTTCTGACCTTTGACCCCTGCAGAGGTGGAGCACTTTAGTCCCAGCCGCGTGTCCGAGAGGGTCCTGTTCCACCTGCTTCGCCACCCCAGTGTTAACCAGGAAGTGCACTTTGACCCAACCAACAGGCTGAGTCCGAGCCACTACCTGTACACCCGTAACCACCCGGTGGACTACTTCATCCTGCTGCTGCAGGTATGTGCTCGTGCTCAGACACGTCTGCTGCGTCGTGCACAGTCATCTCACCAGGCAGCTAGTCACATGTTTCCTTCACTAACTCTTCAAGTTGACATTAACAGCTGCAGTAAAAATATCAGGAGCAGAAACTGTAGGAAAACGGGAAGATGAAAGTATGAGAGATGATTTAACGGGTCAGCGTGTGGTTTCAGTTGGTGTATTCACCTTCCACATGTACGAGCTGAGCAGAAATCAAATGTAGACCACGTGTATGTGTGTTCACGTGAGGTTTGGTGAGTAAAATGATCAGATGAATTAGTTCCTTGGACTTCCTGTCTTGGTTTTTGTCCTGACCTACAGCAAAGGGTCAGAATACTTCTGGTTTTCAGTTTTTGAAATGTTGAAAGTTTCCCATTTTAACAAGATACCTTTCATATTATCATTTTTTAACTCATCACTGCAAACCAAATGATTCTCTTCTTGTAATAAGACCACATCACTTTACCTCATTATGTCAGGAAACTTTCTTACTAAAACAAAATGTGTCCCTAAAACGGGGGCATCACTTTAAGTCCCTATAAGCCGTGTACAGACATTTAACACATGGTTTACTACACATTAACATGTGGTGGCTAGTCTGCACATTTTAAGTCTTTGTTAATGTTCAGTATCCTAAAGATATTTTCTATTAATGCACCTGTGTTACTGTGTACGGGCGTCGATAGGACGTGTTGAAACATACACCAGTATAACTTGATTAGATTACGTAGCATAAGGTAAACATGTACAATGCTTATGAATGCTACATATGGGGACTTAAAGTGTGACCAGTGTGGGAGCCTGTTTTATTTACCATAAAAATGTGCTCATGCTGCCTGTGTGTTCTCAGGGTCGTGTGGAGGTGGAGATCGGCAAAGAGGGGCTGAAGTTTGAGAACGGGGCGTTCACATACTACGGCGTGTCTGCGCTAACGCTGCCATCCTCAGGTGAGTTGTGCTGCTGCAGGTGCTGTCTGCCCCCGTTCAGAACAGACTTTATTCTTGTAGACATGATCTACAAGCAGGCGGTCGTCTCCATAGAATGAGATCAGTAATGTAAAGGATGACGACTGGACAGTGAATTAATGATGCACACTCGAAGCTTTTATTCAGAGACATCTGTGAAGTTGCAGGAGGCAGATAAAGCCATTTATCGAGCAAAATAAACCTTAACAGAAAATCACTGGTCGGAGAGAGATCAGCTCAGTGCAGAAACTTTATTTGAATAGTTCCTTTGTACAGCGTTGGTGCAATTAAAGTTCACCGACAAGCTGATAATACAGTATACATGCAGTCAGGAAACCAAGTGGAGACTAAAAAAACAGATTAGAAACATCTAAGGGCTCTGACTCAGGACTGTTTAAATCTCATATGTGCTTAGTTATGTAACAGAGTGAAAGGTCAACTGTCGCTTTGGCTACAAGAAGCAGTGAAGCTGTGCCACCGAGCTGACAGGTCACATGTAGAGGGTGTAACGTGGCTCTGAGACTCGATGTGCTGACTGTGTCTTTCTGTGATATGACAGTGCACCAGTCTCCGGCGTCAAGCCAGCGTCACTCGCCAAAGGATCCCTTCGAGTCCACAGACGCCACCAGCCCGTCCGGCTACTGCCCCGACTACACTGTCCGAGCGCTCACGGACCTGCAGCTCATACGGGTGAGCTGGGAGAGAGAGGGAGAGAGAGAGAGCAGCAGTAGTAAGAGACAGACAGGGAGACAGTGGCAGCACTAGTAAGAGACAGACAGGGAGACAGTGGCACAGGAGAGGGGGACAGAGCGAGAGGCAGACAGAGGGACAGACAAATGAGGGAAAGACAGGAGAGGGGGACAGGAAGAGAGAGGCAGACAGAGGGACAGACAAATGCAGTAGGAGGGCAGACACAGTCAGGGAGACAGAGACAAACAGGTGCCTTCTCATGTCTCTATAACATGATCATTCCTCAGTCGACCAGGAAGTTGTTTTGCTTGACGTTGCATCGCCCTTCTTCCCGTTCTGAGGGGCCATGAGCGAGAAGGAAATCCGCCTTCAGTCTTCATAGGCAGCCACACCTCTTCATCAAAGATCAGCCACTTTAGATGAAGGATCAGAGGAAAGTACGTCTCGTGTGTCTTCGTGTTTCCTCTCTCCTCACATTTTTTATTGGAACCTTATGTGGGTGGGACTAAGACAAGTGAGGGAATCTGTGCACGTATCACATGGGATGTGCTTTCTGTGTCTCTGGGCACGTCCAGTGTACCAACCATGCACCAATGATTCCCTCACTTGTCTTAGCCCCGCCCACATAAGATACAAGGAGAGAGGAACCATGTTTCAGAGACATGCCATGTCCTTTTCTCCTTCATCTGAAGAGTCCAATCATCAGCTGGTTTCCGATGAAGGGGTGTGTCGCTCAATGTTTCCTCGCTCATGGCTCCTTAGAGCAAGAATAAGAGCTTTGCAACGTTCTTCAAGATGGCAGACAGACACGACTTCCAGGTCGAGCGAGGAACAATCAAATATTTACCCAGAGACAAACAGAGGGACAGTGAGACACAGTACTGCACAGGGTTTCTGAGAAAACCACTACCACCTAACTTCCTGTTGGTTTTGTGCTGCAGGTGACACGCCTCCAGTATTTGAACGCCCTGATGGCGTCTCGCGTCGTTCAGAGTCCAGATGCTCCTGAGATCAAGATCCTGCCCAACAGTCAGACCAAACTGCTCAACGACAGAAACACCGCACAAGGTAGCTGTGCTCCGCCGCAGTCTGAGCAGCAGGGCGGCCCCCACAGCTGACACTCAAATCACACTGAAACGCTTTTCATAAACCTTTACAGACGCCTTCGTAGTATTTGTAGGAGTGTACTTCCTGTCTGCTTTCAGCTGAACTAAACTTTCTCTCTCTCTCTCTCTCTCCCTCCCTCCCTCCTTGTGTGCCTCCTCTGGCTCGCCCAGAGTTCCCTGTAAACTTTTCCTTCTTTGATACCATTGAGAACTACTGTTAGTACTTTTAGCATGAGGTAAATGAAGCGCAGCCCGTCTGGCATGACAGCAGACACAGACTGTACACACAACACACACACACCCCATGGACACTGAGGAGAAGACACTCACCCATGAAATAAAGTCTCCTCTTGTAACAAGTTTTTTAACCCTCGACCTGCTTCAAGCAGCAGTGGCTGGTTTTTATTCTCATGACGTCAAATCAATGCAGAGTCAGGACGTGTGTGCAGGCGTTTCTGGCCGGTTTCCATTCCAGCTCCTCCATCATCCCACTGTAGCTGGAGTCAACGCCCGTCACACGCTGACTGGCCGTGGCTAAGGACTTGCACTAATCAGACCTCAGAGACGCTGTCACAATGTTGGCCTAAGTTGACTTAAGATGTTTTATTTAATTAACTACACAGATTTTTAGTATTATTTGGATAAATTTTAAACTTAAATTTGGTTTTTTGAGCCTGATGTATTTCCCCTAAAAGTGTCTATGGTCCCTACACAGCTTGTGCTAATTTTGCCAGCACTACCTCAGATTCAGGGAAATGAGGAGTCACGTTAAACGGCGTCTCCGACAGAGCTCAGAATTTCAGTCAAACCATTTCTCACACTTCTCTCTGAGTCAAAGGAAAAGCAGATACAGGATTTGGGCTGATGTCTGGGGCAGCCAGCTCCAGACATCAGCCCCAGACCTCAACCCCCGCAGATCCTCTATCTGGTTTCCTTCAGACTCAGATCAGCGTAAGACACAATTTCACTGAAATCATTTATTCTGCGCTTTGTCAGTGGCCAACTGGGAAACACAATGTTTCCTCGAATCAGATGCGGTGAAAAATTAGCACTAGCTACAGAGCCACCACACCGACCTTTTGGGTCAATACAGCAGGTAAAAGTTATCCTTCCAACATTAAATTGATGTAAAGATGTAGAATACATCTGCGTTCCACAGTCCAGCCAGCCTGATAGTTTGATTACACATGTGATGCACATGCAGTTTCTTTTTAAGGT